GTGTTGGCAACAATAAAAGATTAAATATGTATACATATGAATATATGGCGAAATACACATATAGTGATATTATATATCACTCCATATAGATAGATGCTAAGTATATCCACTAACTAGCTGTACACACACACACACACACACACACACACACACACACACACGTTAAGTTTTCTCAATGTGGACATATGCTTATGAGTATTATGAAGAGAGGAGAGGACCAGAACAACAACTGGGGGCAACCAAGGAGCCTGTCCTAAGCCTTTCTGAATACAGTGACATCAGGATGGAGACTGGCATCTTGTTCCTTTCTAGTCCGGCTGGCACATATTTCATTGAATAAATCGAGTCTGTCAAAAACACGAGGTCAGATGTATAGTTTCAAGCTCAACTTCCTGAAAGTGCTACAGCTGAGGGACAAGTGGAGCTGACTTGTGAGAGGTGAGGGTTCTACGATCTGCAAGGTCACCACAAGGTGAAAGTGGCGCACACTAGGTCTCCCAGGGCTTTCCATCTGGTTCCCTGGAGCAGACACAGATATGAGTGACAAGCACTCACTTCTGGAGGCCATACTTCGCTTAGACGCTTTGCTTGATGGATTTGAATACGTGTTAGCAATCTTTGTTAGCACTGGTTCCCTTTTTGGAGACTTTGGAGACGCTAGCACAGAAATTAGTTTCAGTGGAATTTAGAGAAGTTCTAAATCTGCAAAAAGTTAAACACACATACACACACAAATCATTTTACCTGTGTAAGTGCAATTTAATCACTCTGATTACTTTATTACCTTGCTTGGAGAATGTCTCTAAAATTTTAAAATTAAAAAGATGCTTTTCCCTTTCATAAAATCCCCTTTTTGAATGAAAGGCTTCCTCTTTTTGTTTTTAGAGAGAACAGTAGGTAATTGTTAATAATTTACACACTCTAATAAACCATGGATGTACCTTACATAAAATATGGTACTCAGGGAGCAAAAACTGTGTTTTGGGCTTCTCTCTTACCAGAAGAACAGTATGTTTCTCATTGCCTGTAGGATAAGGCTCTGTCAAAACAAGATATCGAAAACAATTTAATGTGATTTAGTTGTTTATCAGGTATCATCTAAGTACCAACAGACTCAGCACAAGGGCTGGAGATTTCTTGTCAGTATAGATTCACTTTTACTTGCTTTTAGCTAGAACTATAGAACTTACTCCTTCAAACGGCCTTTTATTCTTTTAAAAAACAATTTTAGGTTCTTCTAAAGACTATGCATTGTAGAATATTTATATCTTTCTTGAACATTCAGGGTTGTTTTTACAGTTAAATAAGGTCTGTAAATACTTTCAATCTGTAAGAAGTAGGGATCAGACTAAAAGCTGGTTAGGAATTTGGGGCCTAGGAGTTTACTTCGTAAACCATCAGAAGGTAATTTGTACTAGATAATTAAAACATATACATCATTATTCCAGTTTTTAAAACAAACAACAAATTAAAGCCTCTCAAATGTACATTACTGATAATTAAATCTGTGTTAGTTACTATGTAAAGTGTAATGGCTTCATATTAGATTTTAAAAATTTTAATATGTAGTACTTAGGATTAATACTCTAACAAATGTCTTCTCTATATTCTCTCCTCTTGACTTCACAATCTTTACCAAGTCCTATTTTATATCAGGCTTTGAACTATCCTTATCTTCTTCTCTAAACTATGTGTTGGTCTCCCAATCTCATCTGAAAGGATTAACTAGTGTCCAGGAACATCCTCTCAGACAATACAGAAGCAAGATGGGTAAAGCAATTCCATTGGGAGGAAAAGAATGCCCTTCCTTCCTTCTTTCCTTCCTTCCTTCTTTCTTTTCCTCCCTCCTTCCTATCTTCTCTATCTCTCCATCTCTCCCCCTCCCTGCTTTCTTCCCAACGAGACAATATATACTCATTAAGGCAACAGCACAATGGTAAGAACTATTAACTCTACCAAACTATGTGGTTTTCAAGCCTCTCCCAGATTGACTCCCTTCTTCCAAGCATTCCCCCTGAGGCTGAGTGCTTGCACTTAGCTAAAAGTCTCAAATCTCCCTGCTTCAACAGAAGGCATCTGCTGGGATATATATGTTCTAACTCTTGTACCTGCTCACCTCTAACACGACAACTGGGTTCAGTACTGACGAGAGGTGCAAAAGCACAAATCACAATTACCAGAAGTAGAATAAAGCACTCCGGTTGTCAATCAGCCTTAGTCGGACAGAAATGCAGGTGCAAAGCATGTTAGAGTCTTCTAGCACTAGAATTCTATTTGACTTTCTCCAGGGCCTTTTCTTCTAACACAACCACACTACCTTATATAATTCATGTTGTAAGCAGAAAGCTGGTAAGTCATCCAAACAAAACAACTTCCTTCCAGAGGACAGATCCCCGAGAACTTTTGCACAGATACCCATTCACATACATTCAATCTCCTGGATGGGATTCCGACTCAGTCTGCCACACAAGAAGAGCAAGACACAGGATTGACTCTTTTGATTCAACTCGTGTGTTCCAGATACACTTCCTAACACAGTAGCTCTGTGCCCTAACTCGACATCTAGCGGTACATTCTGCTAGATGAAGAGGGAGAAAACATATTTTAGATACATTCTCCAAAAATCCTGATGGCAAGGCTACAGGTAGGTATATGGAAGTATAGTAGAATATTCACAAGGCCCTGGGTGTGATCTCTAGTGTGGCTAAGCAATGACTCCACATAGCAACTGAGGGACAATTATTTTAGCTTATTATTTTAAAATGCCAGCTACTTTATTTTCTTTGCCCAAGCTCAAATTAATTAAAGGTTATAAATGGTCACTTCTCCCTAGAAGCCAGAACTTTCCCCTCTTCGGAGCAGGGGAATACCTCATAAATAAATTAGGTAAAACCATGGCTTGGTGATTGAATGATAATCCACAGTCCATGTGGCTGCCAAGTCTTTATCTACGCCTCTCTACCACAATGAGCAATCCCCGAACGTCAACGAAGCGGCTTACTTCATCAGTTATCTGGAAGTCTGCAAGTAGTGAAAACAGCCCACAGAAATACTAGCTTCTCCACTCAGCCTCATTCATCTGAAGGACCATGAAAAGGAACAGCACCATTTAAATCTGACGCTGCTCGCTTCCAACGGGTCTGGCTTTAACCCACTGCCACTCAGCCTGGCTGAGCTAGTTTTAGGAGCAGAAGTAAAAAAGGAAGCAGAAAGATCAAAGCATTGCTTACAAAGGGGAAGGACTGTTTTTTGTATGTATACGCCAGTATTTACTAACTGGCTTTCAAACACAGGGACATTTACGACCTACACAGCTCAGGTAATTGCCTGGTGAAGAATGCAAGATGCAGCTGAATTTCCGAACAGAGATAAGAGATAACAGAGATAATCAGGTTGCCACCAACCTTTAACAGGATTAAACAACTTTCTTTAAAAGTCTTTTGGTTTTGAAGTGGTTAGCGTTTCCCGGCAAGTATAGTATCTTAGTGCCAGTATTAAGTGTACAGAGGAGCCTTCTTTTGTGTTCAAGTTTACTTAGTATCTTAAGCCAAGAAGACATTTTCTCTAAGCTAGCAAGAGACTCCCAGATGTATCGACATGGACCAGAGAGTTGCCAAGATCACATTCCCATCAATATGTGTGTTCTTTTAGTCATCCAGTGGGGTGATAGATGTTAAATGCAACAGGAAGCAACTCTTTTTAATTCCAGGCTTCTCAAGTTCATATGCAAAGCATAGGACTTCGCTGTAAATAATTTACATAATTTTTCGTGCATCAAACAGCAAGAGGCTCCATCTCTAGAAAGCACAATATTAAAATCAGGGAAAAAAAACCCACTTCACTAAGGACCTTACTTTAATCAAGTTTCCCTTTCTAAGGTCTGACGAACATTAATGCATTTTTTTGCCACCCAAGAACACTCAGCTGAAGATTCCTCTAGAAAGCCACCCAACTATATCTCGATCTCCATCTTTAGTATTAACCACCAGTCTGAGCTGCCACAGCTATTAAATGTTAATAAACACCACGAGCAGTTCTCAGTTATGAGCCCTAAAACAACGAAAATTTTAGTTAAATATGATTACTTAGAAAGCGGCAGTGTCGACCTTTACTTTTAAAGGTCCATAAAAACCGGTTAAATCCAGATGATGAAATCTTTTATCATTTGTCCATTTAAGTTTTAGACCAGACCAATACACAGAGCCAAGATCGGTGGTCTGTCTCAGAAGACCGAAGAAAGCTTACATGTAGGAGAGGCGTCATTTGTATCGGGGCTTTTTTTTTTCTGTTTTAGAAGTCAGGCACAAAACATGGTGCCATTATCCTAGAGTTTCCCGTAATCAAAAGTCTAAAAGGTGCTTTTAGTAGGTAATTTCTCTCTCAAATGCCAGGCCTGAAGAATCGGTGTGAGGCCCTCCTTATATTCTGAAAATCAATGTTGAGATTTGGCAGCTGAATGCATTATGTGTGTGTGTGTGTGTGTGTGTGTGTATGGGGAGGGGGATGTCTATCACAGATTGGTTAAGTGGACCCCAGGCTCTCCTGCGGTTCTTAGGAGCTGGGAAGGGCTTTGCCTGCCAGGAGGACTGACAGGCACTTCTGCTTTCAGTTCACTGACCGCCCTTTGGTGAAATCTGGCTGTGCACTGCACCAAGCACCTTTCTGTCTGTCCTCTGCCGTGGCGGATCTCAGCCTGGCCGCCACCACCCCACCCCACCCCCGCGGCAGGGGCTTGGGTACATCTTTCGAAAACTTTGCAAGAGTTCCCCTCCCGTTCCCGCCTCGCGGAGACGCCGAGGGCCCCGCCAGCCGGCCCGCAAGGCCTCGGGGCCGCCCAGTGCGGATGTGCCCTGTCCCCGCAGCCGGGGCCGCGCGCTCCGCGACTCCTGCCCGGGGCTCCCCCACCCCGGTCCCTCCGGGAGCCCCAAGCCGGTGAGATCCGCTGCACCGGCGCTGCGGAGAGCTGGTGGCTCTGTTCCCCTACCTGCCCCGGGGCTTACCCTGGAGGTGCGGCGCGGCCTCTCCTCGCCTGCGGGCTCCCGCTGCGGGGCGGCGCGGACCGGCGGGAGCCCGAGCGGGGTCGGAGCGCGGGCCGGCGGCTCAGCGGCGCGCCATGGCTGCGGCGCGGGAGGAGAAGCGCGGGGCGGGCCGGGAGCGGCGGGGCCCTGAGCTCCGGCCTGCGCTGCTGGAGCCGGCCCGCGAGCAGGCTGAGGGCGGCGGCGGCGGCGGCGGCAGGCCGGGGGCGCGCAGGGCACGGGAAGCCGTCAGCGCGCTGCCGGGCTGCTCGGGTGGCGAAACCTCCTCTTCCTGCCCGGCTCGCCTCGGTACTTCTCTCTCGTCCTCTCTCGCTCACTCTCTCACTTCCTGGCTGGAAATTCCCACTGACGTCGAGAGAGCAGACAGACGGACGGACCCACGCGCGCGCGCACAGCGGGGGCGGGAGGTGGGGTCGCCGCCGGGGGTGGGGGAAGCCCGCGCGCCCCGACCTGGCGCCCCGAACCCCAAGCCCCGCGGCCGCCGCGACGCCCCCGGAAGGCGCCCGCAGCCCAAGGGCAGGCCCGGACAGCTGGAGGCCAGGGGAGACCGGCCTGGTCCCCACGCGCTGGGCACAGAAGTCAGTCTCATCTGCATGTTCCCTCCTCTGGGGGTCTCGGCTACACTCAGATCTCTTCACAGAGCGAACCGGAATTTCGAGATCGTAGCTGAGGTCTCTCCAGAGAACCATGAACTTATATAGGGTCTGGATGAAATCTTCAGTCCTCTCAATTATACCAGCCCCAGCGCATTGACCGGCCTGTGTGATCATCGCTGTGGATGGAATTATAACGACAGTGAGACCCATAGTGTTGGTTCACAGCTCATAAATCCTCATCCGGCTCGAGGGAAGTTATTTTTTTTTTTTATTTTTTTTTTCTGGAGAGGCCTCTCACTGATGACCGTTTGCGAGCATTTGAGCTTCTTTATTCTTTGTGCATAGTGCCTCCCTGGGCCAGGGATGACAGCCTGGGGCTAGGGAGCTCCCAAGTGAGTTTTGACTTGAAACACATTTCAGAGTTCAGGGTCTCACTACTGAGTTCAAGTGGAAATACAACTTTGAACCGCCAGGATCAATCAGAGAGGCAGCATGCAGTTTTATTTTGGTACTTAACCCTCCACGCAGCTTTCCACCCATGAGGTTATAAAAACTTTCTCAGTGGGATGTTGTTGCGGGAACACGGATTTTTTTTTCTCCCACTGTATATTAGAGAGTCTTTAAGGGACCTTAAAAAGCCCTACACTCAACCTTAAAGCTATTTCATTTAGATTCCAGAGACCTTTTTGCCGTCTAGAGTTCAGAGGCTTCCTACAGATGGAAGATAACGATGGAAACGCTTTGTTATTATGTATGGGGCATTGGAAATTGTGCCCTACGGACCTGGGAAATCAGTCAATAGAGTGGTCATTGGGATCTTTAGTATTTCTGTATGTTAAAGTCATCGCAGGTGGAGGCATCTGTAACCTCAGCAGTGACAGCTGGATCTGGAACTCATTGACTAGCCAACAAAGCCAACCGCTGAGCTCCAGGTTCAGTGATAGAAAGTGACAAATACAGACCTCCCCCTCCCCCTTCCCATCCCCTCCCCCTCCCCCCTCTGTCAGAGAGGGGGGAGGGGGAGTGGGAGGGAGGAGGAGGAGAGAGGGAAGGAGGGGGAGAGGGAGAGGGAAGGAGGGGGAGAGGGAGAGAACTGTGTTCTTGTTATGATTTAGCACATTGTTATATAGAATGTATATGCAATGATTTTTTTTCCACTGCTGACATGAATACAAAGCCTGAAAGCTCTAGTGAAACAACAAAAGTGTTTGTCTTTTCTCTATGGACTAGGTGGGGACGGGAAAGCTCTACAATCTGCAAGGTGTGGCAGTCCCATTGTCAAAGGCATATATAAATAAGATTGTTACAAAGTTAGAGGCAGTGGGATATACCATGAGAACACAAGTCGAAGACTGTTCATCACTGAGAAGTATCTAGTTAAACTCGAAGCTCAAAATGATCCCACAGAATATACTTCAATCAGAGGCTGGTGTGGGATGCAGGTAGACTAGGCTCCTATATCTGAGGCAACAGAAATTCACAAAGTCGGGGATTTGTCCCTTCCCAGTCCTTGAGGCTAGAGGTCTGACATGAAGATGTGGCTGCCAAGGCCACACTCCCCAGAAATCCTTTGCCTGGCCCCTGCCTCTGGCGGCTGTGGCAATGCCTGGCCTCTTAGGCTTAGCTGCAGCATTACAGTCCTTAGATATTGCAGTCATATTGTATCCATTCCTTCCCTGTGCTTCCTCTAATCTGAATCCAAGGAGACTTGCCTTTAAATTAAAAGATTTATTTTAAATTCTATGTATATGTGTGTACGGATGTCTGTGTGGTGCAGGTGCGTGTAGCACAGGTGTCTGTGTGGCACAGGTGTCTGTGTGGCATAGGTGTCTGTGTAGAACAGGTGTCTGTGTGTTGCAGATGCCTGTGCAGCAAAGGTGTCTGTGCAGTACAGGTGTGTCTGTGTGGCACAGGTGTCTGTGTAGAACAGGTGTTTGTATGTTGCAGGTGCCTGTGCAGCACAGGTGTCTGTGCAGTACAGGTGTGTCTGTGTGGCACAGGTGTCTCTGTGTTGCAGGTGCTTGTATAGCACAGGTGTCTGAGTGGCACAGGTGTCTGTGTGAGTGCAGGTGTCTGTGCGGTAGAGGTATCTGTGTGGCACGGGTGTCTGTGTGAGTGGAGGTGTCTGTGTGGGTGCAAGGGTCTGTGTAGTACAGGTGTTTGTGTGGTGCAGGTGTGTGTGTGGTGCAGGTATCTGTGT